CTGGAAAGCAGATAAGGGTGGGGAAGGAAAAATGTCTTTGGTGGTGGGGTCGGATTGCAGATGGCGGAAGTGTCAGAGGATGATGCGTTGGATCCGGAGGTTGGTGGCGTGGTATGTGAGGACGAGGGGGATTCTGTTTTGGTTGTTATTGCGGGGAGGGGGTGTGAGGGATGAGTTGCAGGAAATGCGGGAGACATGGTCGAAGGCGTTCTGGACCACTGAGGGGGGGAAGTTGCGGTCCTTGAAAAACAAGGACATCTGAGATGTTCGGGAGTGGAATGCCTCATCCTGGGAGCAGAATCAGTGGAGGCGAAGGAATTGGGAATAGGGGATGGCATTTTTGCAGGAAGTTGGGTGGGAGGAGGTGTATTCTAGGTAGCTGTGGGAGTCGGTGGGCTTGAAATGGATATCGGTTTCCAGGTGGTTGCCAGAGATGGAGACAGAGAGGTCCAGGAAGGGGAGAGAGGTGTTAGAGATGGTCCAGGTAAACTTAAGGTTGGGGTGGAAGGTGTTGGTGAAGTGGATGAACTGTTCGAGCTCCTCGTGGTGCCGATACAGTCATCGATGTAACAGAGGAAGAGGTGGGGTTTAGGGCCAGTGTAGGTACGGAATAGGGACTGTTCCACGTAACTTACAAAGAGGCAGGCATAGCTTGGGCCCATGCGGGTACCCATGGCCACCCCCAAGTTCACGATGGCAATTATTGACAAACTTAAAATGAAGATTGCTCTTTTGTACATCATAGCTGGGCCCACTCATAGTCCTTGGTGCAACTCCTGGCCCCCATCCTGTCCTGAACATTAGTGGGTTCCCTAGAGCCCTGGGCTGTGGTTATTGGACCCCGATGTAACCCCCTACCCACAGCCCTGAACTGCAGTGCATAACGAGGAAAAGTTTCACTTGTACAGTGTTGTCTTGTGAAAAATGGGGTTAATAGAAACGGAATTTAATACATAAAAAGGCTACTAGTCATTGACCACCAGTGCCTATCTGACTTGGGCTTTGATCAAACCATAAACCTTTCTGAAAGAGGCAAAAACCTTACTGGAATATTCAAGTTGCAGTGTAATGCAATATTTCGGACCCTAATGAGGTTTTCAGGTAAACAATACTTCCAGATTTAACAGGGATCTTCTCATTTATGCCAGCTCCTCAGTGTTTTAACACCCACTGCTCTTTTAAATTTTGAACATCTGATTTATAGTTTGAATCCGCACAGATGATGAAAGAATCACTATGGTGTCCCAAGGATCTATCATTCGTCTCCTCCTATACTATTTCATATTTACCTGCCTCCCCTCAGTCACATCTATGAATTATACAATAATTATTTCCACGTATATGCTGACAACTCTCTGCTCTACCTTACCACCACATCTCCATTGCCTCTGAATTGTCAGGATGGTTTATCCCATCAATACTGTTTATGTTCTGGATATGTAACAAATTCTTCCAACTAAATATTGGGAAGATCAAAGTCATTGTGTTATGTTACCTGCCAAAAGAAAATTCTCCTTCCTAACCATAGACTCCATCCTTCTACCTGGAAACTGTTTGCTTCTAAACCAGACTCTTTGCAGCCTTGGTGCCATATTTGATGCCAATCGGAGCTTCTGACCACATACACCATCACCTAAGACCTTCTATTCCTACCTCTGTGACATTGCCTGACTGTACCCCATCTCAGCTCTTCTGCTTTATCTTCATCTTTACTACCTCTAGGTATTGCAATGTCCTATACTCCATAAACCTGAGGTCATTAAAAATGTTGTCAAATATGTCCCAAATTTTCCTCCGTGCCTGATTTTTGTTTTCATACTCATTCATGGGATGTGGGTGTCACCAGCTAGGCCAGCATTAATTGCCTATCCCCACTTGCCAGGAGGGCAGTTAAGAGTCTGTGGTGTCTGGAGTTGCATGTAGCCCAGACCAGGTAAGGATGACAAATTTCCATCCCTGAAGAACATTAGTGAACCAGGTGAGTTTTCTTCTGATAATCGACAATGGTCATCATGAGACTCTTATTTCCAGATTACTATTGAATTCGAATCCCACCATCTGCCATGAAGGTATTTGAACCCAGGTACCCAGAACATTACCTGGGCCTCTGGATTAATTGTCTAACGACAATGCCACTCATCACTTCCATGCTCAATGTCGTTCATTTTCACCTGGTGTGGTATTGACTGGGATTTTAAGATTCTCCCACTTCTTCTCAAATCTCTGCAGGGTTTCATCCTTCCTTATTGATGGGTCACCTCCAGCAACACAATCCTCCAAGATATCTGTGCTCCTCCAATTCTGGCTTCATGACAATCCCTGGTTTTAATGACTGACTGACTGCCATTTCAGACTGTTGCTTTGGCTTTCTAAGTCCCAAATGCCTCCCTGAACTTCTCCTCCTCTGGACTTGGCACAACGATGCCTCCATTTCGTCAGGAGGCTAAGGAAATTTGGCATGTCCATAAAGGCACGCACCAAATTTTATAAATGCACCATTGAAAGCATTCTATCCGAATTCATCATAGCTTGGTACAGCAACTGCTTTGCCAAGGACCGTAAAAAAAAACTATAGAGAGTTGTGAACACAACCCAGTCCATCACGCAAGCCAACCTTCCATCCATTTCATTTCTTGCTGCCTCGGGAAGGTATTCAGCATAATCAAAGACCCCTCCCACCCTGGTTATAATCTCTTCCATTGGGCAGAAGGTACAAAACGTGAAAAAGACATACCAGCAGATTCAAGTACAGCTTCCTCCCCACAGTTATTAGATTTCTGAATGAACTTCTCAAGTTTTAAATTTAATGTTGATCTTGCACTTTGTGCACCTTCTCTGCAGCTGCAACGTTGTATTTTCGCTCTTTTCTATTACCCTAGTGGATTTGTATGGTATGATCTGCCTGTACTGTACTCAAAACAAAACTTTTCATTATACGTAGGTACATGTGACACATCAATAATAAATCAAATCAAAATCAAAACTTGCCTTTTTTGGAGTCTCATGCCTTTTCGATTTATGTCGCAGATTTTGGTGCCTTTTTTATAACTTTAATGGTACAGTTTGTGACCCTGACACCTCTCAAAGCTTTTTTGACCAAGCTTTTTGTAATCTATTCTTCTGTCTCCTTTTGTGAAATTCTCACATTTTGCTTTGTATTGCTTCCTATGAAGCACCTTGGAAATTCTAGTATGTTAAAGGTGTTACATAAATACAAGATGTTCTTGTTTTTCTCACATCTGTTGCCAAGCAACAAATACCTCTTTTTTTTCCGCATTTATCAGCTGAGAGAATCTTACGATTAAAACACTTCAAAAAAAACTTACAACAAATTTGCATCAACCTTAATTGCATATTCTAGCCATTTCAGTTTTCTTCCTATAAACATTTGCACGTCAACAATCAGCTTGTTATCGGTGAAGGAAAAAGCTGAGAAGTCACTAATCACTTCAGGAAGCAATCTGACTAAAGCTTATTAGCTCTGTTTCTTTTGTATGATAATTTTATTGAAGGTATTAAAATGAGCTGCTAAAGGCTGCTTTCTGTAATGCTTGCAAAAAATTGTGTCCTCTTCTGCACATACCAATGCTTGATTTTTTTCAAATAAAATTCAAGGAAAATCAATAAACCATCATCTGCTAATACGGTCAACAGTAATTTCTAGAGTTACAGTGAGGATTCTTATAAACTGAAATCAGAATTCTTCCTCGGTCTAATTGCCATTTCAAGAGAACATGCCCATTCAGTTCCTTTGCATTGTTGGGGTTAGTGTGCATCCCACATTTAACCATGCTTCAGCCAGAGCAGCAAATATTTCTGATCAATTTAATCTCTCCAGCCCTGAAATTGTGGCTTCAAGCAGACTCCTGGTGTCAATGATCTTTTTGATTTTATTGAATGACCATATTTAAAGCATTCCTGTTCTCTACCTGATATTATATATAATGTTTCCAGTAGATAGCAGCCAAAAGCAGAATAACTGGCTGATTTCTTCATTTCTTCCATTCACCTAAGGATGTGGTCCTTCCGCTCATGCACTGATTAAAGTAACTTACCTTGGTACATATCACTTCGCATACAATACTCCAGGTGTGTTCTTACCAAGACCCTATAAAACTACAATAAGCCACCCAACTTCTGAATGTAAATCCTTTTGCATTGAAGCCAAACATATCATTTTTCCTTCCGAATCACTTGCTGCACCTGCCTTTTTCCTTCCACAGACCAGTGTAGAAGAATACCCAGATCACTTTGTGCATCCAAATTTCCCAAACTTTTCCATTTAAATGATACTCTGTCTTTCTTTTTCTCACCCCAAAGTGTACAGCTTCACATTTATCCATATTACACTGCATGTGCCATGTGTTTTCTCATACTGTCCTGAAGCTTCCTTGCATCCTGTTCACAACTCTCAATCCCATCTAGTTTTGTGTCATTAGCAAAGTTCGAAATGTTGCATTTGATTCTCTCATCCGGGTCATCTGTAGATGTCACGAATAGCTGGGGCCTCGCCACAGAAAAATACCCATTTATTCTCACTGTCAATCAAATCTCGACCCATGTCTGAAATTAGCCCCAGTCTTGTGTGCTTTAGTTTTACCCACTGGCCTCTTAAGTGAGACCTTATCAAAACCTTCCTGAAATCAAAATGTGCAAGATCGCCCTTATCTCTATCCTCAGTTACATCCTCAAAAACAGTCCAGTAGATTATCTAATCATGATTCCCCTTTCATAAACCCATGTTGACTTTGTCTAATCCCATTAGTGCTTTCCAAATGTTCTGTTATCACCTCTTTTATAATAAACTTCAGCATTTTCCCCATGACTGATATCAGGCTCGTTAATATGTAATTCTGTTTTTCTTCCCCTCCCACCTCATTTTTTTAAAATGTGGGGTGATATGGTGCTTTACAAGGAATTCCATTTATTCTGGTCAAAATTACAAATATGGAAATGATTTTGCTTTTCTAGTCTAACTTATTTTTTGTTATATATTGCAGATTTTGGTGCCCTTTTCAATTTTAATGACACATTTGATGATGCAGAGGTAATGCAAATATATAAGTTATCCTTTGGCTGTCTGTTGTTGACTTTAAAGAGTTATTTTATGTATGAATTCACCTGCAAATAGGAGTGCATTTTCATTTAGTACCTTGTTTAAAAGCTTCAATACATGTCTTAAACCATAAGAACAAATAATTTAAGAATAATCAAGAGTTCCAATAAATATTGTTATTATTTTTAACTCTCCCTCTTATCTGCATTACAATACGCAATGTGCATTTTTTTGTCAATTTTCTCAGCAGTTAAATGTTTCTCTTCAGATTAAATACCGAGCTTTGACAGATTTTAATCTGGTGGCAAAATAAATAAAACTGTACGCGAAGTTGAAAACGCAATGTGACATTAAAAGTGACATGACCAGTTTAAGTTGTTCAAGGTTTCCTTTACTTTCCATGTTATTTAATATGCAATGTTATCAATTATTTGTACATTATCCAAACAAGAATAATTAAACCTCCTGAGATTTTAAGCATTTGGAGCAGTACAGTCCAAAAAAAATGTTCACTGCCATCGCTAGTAGAGAAACTCAATTGGTCTGGAAACATCTGTGGAGAGAGAAACAGAGTTAACATTTTAAATCCAACATAACTCTTCTTCAGTACCAACTCTTGCCCCTTATATTGGAGTGGGAGGCCTTCTGGCTTCTGGAGTGAGTCAGAGCTCAACAAATGACCAGAACCAGCAAATGGAGCAGGATAGATCTAAACCAGCTCAAGCATGTTCTGAGTGCATTGCAGATGACTTGTAAGCAAACTGTTGTGGGTAACAGGGGGGTTAGGAGTTCGAAAATCAGTCCCACTGACAATTTGTCAAATATTAAACCAATACACTGTGGAGAAAATAGGAAGCTCATCCCCGATGATTTGAATTAGTGGGTGGAATTTATTGCTATTTGACTATGACACATTTGCTGGCCAGATAGGCATTGAATCAGAAATGAGGGTAGTTAGGGTTTTGGTTAGGGTGGGTGGAGATGACATTGTTTTCCTATGTCCAACTTGGTTAAGTCCATGGTGAGGAAGCTTATAGATGGCCTTCCTGTCTGTCAACAATTGAGGCCCTCAAATGGTCAATTAACGAAGTGCCTCATCCCAAATACTTATGGCTGGTGGTGGCCGCATCCTGAAAAGAGCACAACAAGCAAATCCATGCAGGCTAGCTGGTGGGCTCATTTGAGAGAGGAGAGGAGGGGATAGTCCTGCTGAGTGCAGCGCCTGTACTCTTGTTGACGTCCAAACCCTCCCCCTTACACCCTGTGACCTCCACTCCTGCTGTCAATCAATGTAATCCAGTGATGACCAAATGTGGGTGTAATACTGGCAGCAACCACCACTTCCCCGGTGGTACTTCTGTTCAAAAGATGACTTTTGTCATCCCAAAGAAGACCTACCACTGTCACGCATCTGAGTGATGTTGGGCCTCTCGCCTGGCTGACAGCCTTCAGCTAAGACACCCATCACCTCCACTAAATCCAGCACAATATTCCAAGCGCACAGATAAAGGGTATGATTCTTATTTGGTTCTTTCAATGTAACTTCAGCAGAAACCTTGGGAAAATAGTGTAAGTAGCCATTTTTAGTCACTAAGGCTGTTTCCCAACAGTTCTGCTCGTTTTAAGCTGGCAAAACCCTTGCAGAAGTTCTATGTCAATTTTGGTCAATAGAATACATAAAATGAACATGTTTGCATGTGTTTTTTTAAATCTTACTTTCTCCTTCAGCCAACAGAAAGTAATCCAGAGCAATCAGGACCAATTTTACTTGAAGCTCACACAACGTCAGTATTTAATCACAAATGGAATGAGAAGAGTGTGGAAGCTGAAAATGAGAAATCCATATCTATCAAAGACAAAGAACAGAACGCAAATGCTGTTTCTAATGAAAAGTATTTTGTCAAGGGAAATGAGGAAATAACCACAAAGGTTGCCATCCCTGATATTCTTTATACCCCCTCCTTCACTGCGGTCGAAACAATATCCAAGGAGATACGTACTGCACTGCCCCACGAAACCATGATCTCTTCCATAGCTGAGGACTCGGATGATTCTTCAGCAGTGGGACCCCTGGAACTGAATGAAATTTTCACCATCACCCACCAAGCAAGAATTCCAGTCACATCCAAAGAAACCCCACACTTCAGTACAGCGACAGAATCTGACAATATACTCAATGTACCCACCATTGGTACCAGAAATATTCCTCAGGCTGTAACGCCTGAAGATGGCCTCACAAGTAATTCAACTCCCAATTTGTTGCCTGAAACAATGATTGTTATACCTCGGATGGATTCTGGTAAAGAACAAATGACATCAACCAGTGAAAGAATTAGTTCCCAAGAGCTGAACACGGTTCCTGATTCTGTCACTTCTGCAGCGACAGTCCACCCAGATATGGTAACCTCTTCCACCAGCAATGTACTTGCGTCTCGTGAGATGTTTTCTGAAACTCTTCTTCCTCCTGACCAAGAGATATACCTTCGTAGTACTCCAGATTCCATTGACAAATTAAATATCTTGCGTAAAGAGAAGGAAATCCAAGCTACCTCTCCTTACTCTACTGGTGAGATGGTGTTTCAAACTACCACTGTGCCCTCAAACAGCAAAGTGTCCTTTCACGCTACCTCTGCTTATACCCATGATGAAGTACTGCTGCAGCCTACTCCCTCCTTATTCAGTGCATCTTTTTATCAATCTTCTGCTTCTGCTGATAGTGAAGTGTTTTTTCAAATGACAAGTCCTTTATCGACTGACTCAATGTCTCTGTATGTGACCTTTGATTCCCCTGCTAGTGAGACATTTCCTCCTTCTGCCCATATTTTTCCTAGTAGTCAAATGTTGCTTCAAGCTACTTCTGTTGCTTTTTATGATGAAGTGGGACTGTCTGGTTCATCTCTACCAGCCAATATTGATGCTGAAGCTACCCTTCCTTTAGCTAGCAATGTGGTGTCTCTTCATACTACCCCTGCTTCCTCCTCTACTGAGAAACTCCCTTATGACCTTCAGACCTCCTCTGAAATTCCAGCATTACTCAGTGTGACTTCTGCTGCATCTAGCAGTGAGCTGGTGCTGCACACCTCTGTTGGTGACCTGTTGTTTGAATCTGCCCTTCCTTTACCCAGTGGTGTGATGTCTCTTCAAACTTACCCTAGTTCTAAAGAGAATGAGATATTTCTTCATGTTACTCCTGCTCTTTCCGACAGTCTGATGTTGCCTTTGACTCCACCTGTTGTTCCCAGTGATGAGACTTTGAATGTTACTTCTGCACCCATTGTTGCAGACACGTTGCTTCAAGTGATCCCTACTTCCTATGAAAGCAAAATGTCTTCGTATGCTTCTCCTGTTTTTCCCAACAGTCAAATATCAACTGCAGCTGCTCCTGCTTTATCCACTAATGAATTATCCCTGCAAGCTACTGTTAGTGTCTTTGATAGTACAAGATCATTGAGTGATACCGAAACTTTGAGGAAAAATGAGACAATGCTTTATGTTTCCCTCATGCCTTCCAGTGATAATGCACTCTCTTATGTTTCCTCTACTGTTTCCAATAACCAGTTTTCTGTTCCTACTAGCCTGCCTTTATCGTTTGATGATGCAATGCACATTTCTATTCCAGCGACAACTCCCAGCAGTGAGCTAACCATGCAAGGTTCTGCTGCTCCCTTGCCATCTCCTTCAGTGCCTTCCTCTGTCACATTGCTGAGTGAAAGTCAGGATGGTGAACTGTGGTCTTCTGGTTCAGAAATTGATTTGTCAGAGGCAGATGGTAGTGTACCAACAACATTTTACCCCAGATCTGAGGAAGAAAGTCACTTAAATGGGCAGATATTCAGCACTACAAAGGAGCAGACTAGTCAGTATCCCCAAATCCTATCAGGATCACCTGCATCTTCTGAAGAAAACTCATTCATCACTACTTTTAACTTCAATTTAACAGATTCATATGTGGACAGAAATCATTACATGGCAACAATACTGACACCAAAAGTATCCACTGGAAATCACAAAAGACCAACAATAATAGGAAGACATAATTGGACCACAACAGTAACTACGAAACCATCCCCATCATACTCTAGGACTAGTACCTTCCTGACCACTGAAGAGGAGAGTGGTTCTGGCCAGAGTGCATCTGATAGTCTAACTGTTAATGAAACTTCAGTGGTGTTAAGTTCCCTCAAGTATAATTATAGAGCATTAGACAGTACACCAGGCACAGGTAAAGCAGCAGAACAAAGGACGTCACTGCCTTCAGCTCCATCTGTAACTAGTGGGCTTGAAACAACTTTATTCGACATTTATGAGGCAGGTTAGTTATGATTGAAAACCATTTGCAAAACCGAAGTTGAAATCAATGCAACTCTGGAGGGGATGGTCAGTGACCTTGGTAGTGGGATCCTTGTTGATGCCAGGCTCTGTACTAAGATGACCTGCACATTTCTCTGTGACTGTAATCATGTTTGATGGGGTCTATAGTAGCTGACCTACATCTGTAAAATTCAGTAGAATTTTAGGTTAACATAAACCAAACTTTGAATTTATATTTTCAATCATTCTGATTTGGTAATGATCCAAATTAAGTCAGAATTGCCATCAGACTTGTGTACTATACTTTACATAACTGCATTGTTCTCAATTTATTCAGAAATTGAGCTATCGTGAGACCGTTTGCTGAGTAGCACAAAATGATCTCCTACAGTGTAAACTAATGCTAACTGTGAATAATTTATATTACAATATCAAGATTCAGAAAGTGTTCAAGCTTTATTATAAATGAGCACTGGGTTAGCATCTTTGGTAATCTGAGAAATGTGCAACATTGCAATTGACGAATATACTGAATCTTGTACAATGAGTACAAATATATTTATACTCTTCTAGGAAATTAACAAAAAGAAAAACTTGATTCATATGGAAGACAATAGGGGAATATATCAATGCATAGAAAAATGATGGTTCCTAAACCACAAGTATTCCATTATCAATTTTTTTCTTTACATTGTGACAGTAACAAATGCAGAGCACAGGTTTTTGAGATATGTTGTGTGATTTACTTCCCTGACTCATGTAGTTAAAAACATTATGGAAGTCAGTGCTTTTGGGCTAGGGCCAATGTTCGGTTTACATAAAATAGCGTTTAATTTGAAATAAAAAGCCATTACTCCCTTGCAAAATAGCATGGATCAAAAAATGAATAATATTGCTACAAACTCAGTGTGCACAATAATATTTGGTCAAATGAACGCAATAGTGTTTGAGTTTAAAGAAGGTCTGGTATTTTAATCGAAATAATTTAACTTGGTTCAGTTTGTTGTCATGGGTGCCTTTCTTAATGTACGGCATTGTATGAAAATTTACAGAATTTGATTTTAAAAACACATATATCAACTGGCAGTATCAAACAACTGCTTTATAAATTATTTAAAAGTCAATGTGTTTTAGGGAAATAATACTGCTGAGAGTTCCAGTAGTGCTAATATGTTATCGTTATCAATCCTGATATGTCTTTATTGTCAACTGGATCCTTAGAAGTGCAAGAGAGTGATACCTGTGTTGTTGTATATTTCTCACTGAGCTGTCTGGTGTCATTTTCAATTTTGTAGTGTGACTCGGTATAACCATTACAACAGTAGATTAGCAATTAATCTTTCTTACAGTCAATGTGTTGATTAATATACCTTCTATTCCTATTCAAATGTAATATAAAATTTCCTTTTCCTACAAGAGGCATTACAGTAATATAGTTGATGATTGATGTATCATTTTGAAGTAAGTTCTGATACAATTAATATGTGCCAAACAAAAATGAGCCAAATGAAGCTGCAACCAGACAATACACTGGCTCCATTTTAAACTGACCGTTGGAATTCAAGGTTTCCCAATATATCTACCACTATTAGGTTTGTGTTGTGTTCTCCAACCCACAAATGGCAAGTTAACATGTAATTTCATAGCTGGCAAATTTACAATGCGAGTGATTGGACCAAACTCTTTACATAAATGGATGAATTTAGTGTGCATTGTTATTATGTTCTTGCAGCAATTCTAAATAAGTGGTAAAAGAAAAGTTAAGCTTTTTTTAAGTGATTGAATATTGTATGAAATGTAAAGATATTTTGTGTGATACCAGGATCCTGTTACTCACCACAGAAAGACCATGGTGTATAATAGTTTAGTGAGACCAGGCTCCTCTCCCAGAAGCTCTCAATAAATCTGAGATTAGGGGCAGAGTGGTGCATTTGTTCCACAGCACCCTGTCATTTTAGTCAATTCTTTACTTGATGCAATAAGCGTGAAGCATTCCCATCTGTATCTCGTTCTCTGATCTGTGATCCTGTCATGCCAGACTTTAGGACAGGAGATTTGTCGAGCAGATCTACAGCCCTAATGGTAATTCTAACCAATTGGTCAAAAATGACATCAGATTTGTGGTCAACTGTAAAATAGCATGCAGTAGGAAAATGATATTTAGGGACAAACATGGTCATGTGGCTTTGCAGGAAATACTCAACTATTCAAAGAAAGCAACTGTCTAGTAATCAAATTTTCTCAGCAAAAAGACAGTCTCATCTCATTCTGGTAGGTGTACTGGTCAGAATTTTGTTTTAAAGAAAAACATTTTGACAAAACTGATCATGATCTTATAGTAGACCAAATTAAAAAAAATCAGTAACATTTTGGAAACCGAATGTATTGTAACCCTTGCCCATATTTATTCACCTTACTTGATGTAGAAACATTGTTAATTCATTGTCATGTGGAGCAACGTTTATGCTAAGGCACTCTTGTAATTGGATGGTTCAAATCAATTGAAAATATTTTTCATATCTCCACAGATTTCTTCTACATGAGGTCCATCCAAAAGTCATCAGCTTCTGAAAATAAAGGAACAAATATTTTTTAAGACAACCATGTAATGTCTATCAGGGAATGCCCACAATCCTCAAAAACATAGGCTCTGGTCCAGACTTTACTCAGTAATACCTGGTGACAGGGCCTACCATAATCCGCCAAAAATGTATAACATTTGAAAGGTGTTTGGAATTTTGGTATTCCCACTACAACATGGTGAAGCTAATTTGTCTGCTTCAGAATGTCCATGACCCTGTCTTGTCTGGCACAGCAATGATACATTACATATAATTTGGCTAAACTTCATTGGTGAGCAAGTGTTCACTTGTTCCGCCCAGTGGTGAAAGTTTAACAGCCAGCCTCCAGCCTGAGGTGTTCCTATTCACAGCTCCCGTAGGCACTTTCAGGATCATCTATGCATCTATTGGGATTAGGTTATCTAATTGATGTGCCAATGTTCCAAATGGATCAGTCTGCAGAGAATCTTTTGTGTGATGGATTCATCCAGAGCTCAACAGATACCTATTCATGATGAATCTCTGAAAGGAACAAATGCTCTTTGTAGTACAACACCAGCAATGTTAGAGTTTATTATATTCTAATAAGTCTTATGACCCCTTCTCCAAATTTTCACATTTTAAAAAATGTTTCTTGTAATTACCTCGAATTTTCAACAGCATAAATCTAATACATTCTCTGCTTCTAATATTTGATGCTGATTTTTTTTGTTGGTCAGATTGTGCAGTTCAAGGTTAACATCATTCATGAAGACATCATTTTTGAAATACATAAGCTCTCACCTGTGATAATTTGCTCTGTATCTTTGACAACATCTTCAATGATCATTTTTTTTGTACTTTGCCTTCTATATTTTCTATTATAGTTACTTCAAAATGCACTGAAAACATTAAAAGAAGTAGATAAGATTGTGTTGATTTATTCCTTCAAAAGAAACTTAGCTGGCTGGAAATTAGATTGAGAATTACAGAAATAAGTGTGGAGATGGATAATGAAGAGCTTCATGGTGCACGCTCTGCCGTTAGTCAGAGCAGGTCACTCATACAAATGAAATAGATCATATTCAGTGAAGTTGAATAGTAGGTATTCAGAAGTGATTGCTGGATTTTACTTAAAGCCTTTGACCATTAGGGAAAAATGTTCTTCAGGAAATTAATTCAGTGTAGTGAAACCATGATGTTTATTATCTGAGCAGGACTGGGCGTGATGGGGCAAAAAAACTGACCCAGTGCCAAAAAACAAAAAAAAACTTTACATATCTGTTCACCTTTTTGTCAAGTTCTTTAATAAATATTTTACCTATTTAAGATTCTGCCACTGACCTACTCTTGTACTGCCTCTTATCCTGGCTCAATGTTCTTACCTTGGCTCCAGTTCGGGGATTGAATTAAGTGGCAACCCAACAACCCTCCCATCTGTGGTACTTCCTTCAAGCCCTCAAACCTGCTCTGTCAAAGTAACCTCCTTCACTACCCACAATCCTCCTGTTCTCCATACCCTCCTGCTCCAAGTTTAATGAATACATTGATGTTTCCAGTTGGAGAGAATTTTCCATTAGAAAATTCAATTTCATAGAAAAATTCCCACATAGTCAGCTGTATCATGGCTTCCACAACGTCTCAACTTGCAACTCCAATGTACCCTGCACCAACAGCTCTACGTCCATCAGAATATCAGGGCCATTCTTTGTGAACAATGGTTGCCATTATTGTGCACATTGTCCGTGAACTAGTAGTAAGGGAGAGATAAATTGTAAATCACCACAAGTTGCTGAATGATTTGTGATGCTGCACCATCAGCATCACAAAACAGATTCTTGCTCTCAATATCCCTGTGAGTTTCATGGAGTCTCTGCAACTGCACATGAATTCTCCATTAAACTTAAACTCTCCATAATTAGTCCAGTTGTTATTTGAATAAGTAACCTTTCATGAGCATGTTAATTGCTAGCGGTTTCCAATTGACTTTTGTTCCTTAGGAAATAAATTATAAATATGGACTGTTTTGAATTATTTCAGTCATTTTAAAGATGTAATTTTCTTCTGTACCATTTTTCCCTCCCTCAAGTCAATTTTCCTTTCCCTCCCTTTATTTCTCACTCTGCTCCTGACTGGTTAAGGAAGTGTACATCATGCTGCATGTACTGTTTCAAAATCATGTCACACACCCAGCAATTTAGCTTTTTTTAAAATGAAAACCTTAACGTGTGGTTATACATATTACCGCTGTAACAGAAATCTGACCCTTTTTTAAGCTGGTATTTGCAAAAGCAAACTTACACATTTTACCATGTGACATATTCTTGGTATCACTGTCATACAACAGGATCATTAAAATCCACATATCTTTCAGCAGTTATTAAATTTGTTGTCTTAACTAAATTGCAATTGAAGACAGACATCAGTCTGTTTTCCAACATCCCACAATGTCTGTTTGGGGTTATACAGAGTGGAGATTTCATAGTTAAGTTACATCATCACACTAAGTTACAAAGCAAATTATTTTTCTTTTTTTTTGACTACGTATTCATATCTGTAGTTACAGGGATGAATGTCGTACCATTTCAGATGTAGTTTTCAAAGGTACATGGGTTTTTATATGTTGCTCTTTTGATTTACTGGCTCCAATTTTTTAATGTAACGGAGGTCTGGTAATTAGCTATTTAGAGGCGGAGAAAGAATAACTAAAGTTCACAAGTTGGATGATTCTCAATATGCATTTCTGTTAAACTAGTCCCACCAGTAATGTTGTCATTTTGAATTAGATTAGAAGTGATTCATACAAAAACCTTCAGCAAACAATATTATCAATCATTTTTATTTCTTCAACTTTATAATCATTTGGAGGGTTAGCTAGTTACGATTGTATTGTTTGATGCTTTTCAGATCTTTATATGGATGTGTTACAGATTTTGAATACTTTGGTATTTTGTGGCAATCTACTGTTACCTAAGTGCCTCTATGTGAACTGTGCAACCTCCTAGAATCTTTAGTGTCTGTATACTTTGTCTCATTAGTACCACAGTCAAGGGCTAGAGTGGGCAGGGCGGGTACACATGGCCAGTTTTATTTCAGAATTCACTAGCTAACATTTGGTTCCAGGCTAAATTCAATTGAACTGCTTGGGAAGCTACAGACTGCATCTCCCAACAGGACTGGAAGGGATAAAATAATTGCATCAAGAGGTAACTACTGCAACAAATTGAGCACCATCCCAAATATATACTGAATAGTTCTTTCATTTCACTCTCAAAGGGAGAGGCTCGGTAATTCCTTTAATCTCCTAAACCTTTTCCTCAATCCAGTATCACCTCTTGCACAATTAGAGTCCAATTACCTATGGATAAATCAACATATTTTTAAATCCCACATCGCATTGAAGTACATTTATTTAAGGATTATTAATTACACTGACAAATTGCAGACTATAATGAATGACATCTGGTTAGACTATTAAAGATAATTACAGAATTACTTCCACTATTAGATGCCAAAACAGATATTGACAGTTTTATGCGAACGTGGAGAATTCTCTTCATAAGCCAGGCATTTTATCTCCATGACATTTCCAACACAGGCCCTAAATACATTATTGCAGCCTATCCTACTCAATGGGGATTTATGGTGACAAAATTGCTTAATTGGCATAAGTCATACAGGGTCAAAAGAGTAACTATGTACAAGGAGAACATTGCTTTATAGAGATAACTGCTGTTCTGCTGGCTAATTAACTGGGCAATCTACAATCATTCTAATCCGAATCAGTTATTTGCATCAGTTGTCAGCAGATGGCAACCTAAACAGCAGTTGTAACTCTGCGACTGGGGTTTGGCTATCCTTGTCTATTGCAACTTGCTGAATTTGCAGCTCATTTAACTTATATTTTGGAAAATTTTTACTGTTCCCTCTCATCAACCACACAATGTTGCTAACCCTTGCCCCCTTCACAAGTGCTATCACACTTGCAGTCACAGTCACTCATCTGAATATCTCTATGCACTTATCCCACATGCTAAACCAAGCCGGCTACTTCCTTTCATTACAGCCACTAGAACCTAATGATTCTGTTTCTTTCTTATCACAAGCTGTTAGAGCACCTATCCCCACACATGAAGTGTACCCACATGCATGTTGGCTGCCCTTTGCAACAAGCTATACAAAGTGCGAACAGATGTTGAGTCAATCAATAAAGGAGCAGTTTTGAGGCAGCCAAGCTAAAGAAAACAGGGCAAGGAAAGTTTTACAAAAAGAAAGAAGTAAGAAATGGGTTTGACAACAAGAGGTACAGACAGCCTCATGAGAAAGGTTTGTGACATCTGTAGAGACAGAGAGATGAATCTTGCTCCTCCCTGGAGTGGCTGGCAAGGTGAATGGAAGGATAGATAATTAGTTGCAAAAACAAAAAAAATTGCTGGAAAAGCTAAGCAGGCCTGGCAGCATCTGTGGAGAGAAATTGGAGCTAGCATTTCACGTTGAGCAACCCTTCCTCTTCTGAGGAAGGGTCACCGAACATGAAATGTTAACTGTGATTTCTGTTCACAGATGCTGTCAGACCTGCTGAGCTTTTCCAGCAATTTCTGTTTAAATTTCTGATTTCCATCATCCACAGTTCTTTCGGTTTTCATTTAAGATAATCAGCTGGGTTGGCTTCGGAGATACCCACTGCCTTCCCACTTCCACTAAAAATAAGTTTGAGGCAGGAAGACCCACGCTCGAGTTCCCCAATCCCACCATCAATTCAAGCCCTTGGAAGTGATTAATCAGTCATCACTTGAGGATCTTGTCATGCCACCACTGTGGTTAACTATTTTCTTGGCAGGTGAGAACAGTGGCAGCCTTGCCAGTTGGTGAAATGCAGCTAGGTTGGTAGGTTGCCTCAATCTACCCCATCTGGGGAGTGATCAAGGGCATGGATGGGTGAGACTTGGTAATGGTGGTGGTGGTGTTGACTGCTGAAGGCAGCCCTCTTCACAACCCCACCTCCCCAGACTGTGCTTTCCTCCTTCCCTCCCCCTGTCCCCCGACACCTCAAAGTCATGGACGTTGCCCACTGTTCCTGAAGTTTGGTGTTCCTGTGCTGCCACTTGGCATGGCTTCTGCGGCAGCACTTCTGATTGACTGGCATGACTGGTGGGGTAGGGCGTCACTGTTCCAGGAACAGATGCATCAAAACCTCCACCAGGTGACCATTTGTGTGCCTGACAGGCTCAGGATCCTTCAGGCTTCTGTGTTTGCACTGGGTATGGTGTTGCCCCCTGTATTATGGCATTTAAAAGAAACAGAGAGACATCTGAAAGGTAAAAATGCCTTGAGGCAGATTTCACAAATTAAAGGAAAGCAATGAAAAGATTACAGAATTTAACTGTTTTATTTTGTCCCTGCACCATGTAGATCAGCTAGAGAATGGTTAACACGATTACTTATAGAAGCTTGATTACTTATTTTCCTAATTAGTAGCCTTTAGAAAAGGTTCTCCTGGTTCATTATTGTAATGTCTTGAGCGTGGATTTCAGACCACTATCTGTGATTGGTTTCAAGTCAAGCTGACAATTTATTATCCAACCAAGATGAGATGCCAGCATTTTTATCTATTTGTTAGAAATTTACTTCAGAAATCTAATCATTATTTAAAACCACAAGATTTTAAATAAGGTGAGGGTTTCATAGAATAATCTGATAGTCCATCAGCTTTGATTTGTGTGGGGTAAGTTGTGTTGCTTGGTGGCACTGGGACTATGCTTTTGCTGGCTAATTCATTGTCACTGTTCTTCACCTTTTGCTTCTCTCTTGATCAGCACGAAAGTTTATTACCATTCATTTTATATTGGGCAGGTAAGTAGTTTCACACAAATTGTATTTTGGGCATGTAACTGAAGCTTAGTCATGAAATGTTGATGTTCTTATTGTACTGTCGTGAGTGTGTTTTGCTCTCTCATTCTGGTTTGCTTGTGGCAAAATTGTTTTTTAAATCCTTTTCCTTTTTCTACAACCACAGAGGCCAGTAACAGCAGCCATGAGTCCCGTATAGGTTTGGCAGTTGGGTTAGAGACAGAAAAAAAGGCAATTATCCCTCTTGTGGTGGTATCAGCTCTCACCTTCCTATGTTTGATGCTGCTGGTAGCTATCCTTATATACTGGAGGTGAGTGCTCTGAAATCATGGTAATTCCATTAGCTGACAAATATTTGCTTGGAGACATAGATGAAGATAATAAAAACTGAGCTTTCTAGCTCCAGATAAGTAAATTGAAGACAAGGTTGGAAATTTTAACATCTTTGAAAATGTATGGATAATTCACTTGATAAATCAAATGTTGACATGCTTTTTACTTTCTAATATAATTAAATGTGCACCACGGTTATTCAGAATTCGAAAATATAATTTGGTAAATTGCAAAATTGTTAACTGCTTCGCTGACACACATGACGTGTGACTTTCATTGTTTAATATGAGATATTCAGTTCTTTTTTTGTATGGATTCTGCCGTGTCACAATAGTTACAGAGCAGAAGGAGGCGATTGTGTTTGTGTTGGATCTCAGAATATTTTAACTTTGTCTTCTCACCGTAACTCTGCACAGTGTTTCTATTTAAATAAGTAGCTAATTCTCTCTGGGCAATTGCCACCATACTTCCAGGCAGAGCATTCCAGACTCTAACTACTTGCTGTGTGAAAATGGTTTTTCTCTTTGCAAAACACTTTACAACTTGCCCTTTGGTTTTTGATCCTTTTTCCAGTGGGAACTGTTTTATTCCCTATCTACTGTCTCTAGACTTACCATGGTTTGAAAACTTCCATCAGATCTTCTCTTAGGCCTTCTCTTCTCCAAGGAGAACAGTCTCAACTTCTTCAATCTTTCCTCATGACTTGAAGTGTCTTATTCCTGGAAACATTCTCCTAAACCTCTTGTGCACTCAGACCAGCTGCCAGATTTTAGGAAGGATATGAATGCACAGTCTTTCATTAAATCTTCAAATCAGGAGAAAACATTTTTAAAAACCCATTGTACAGATTACTGACATTTTCAAGCCATGAAATAAATGGGAACATTCTTTGATTTCTAGAAAATGTGGATTTATGGTTGCCATTTTTAGTTTAGATTATTCTTGCATTAAATTAAAAGGATGTTCAGAGAATATCACAGCAATAGATCTTAAAAACTTGTTAATTTGTAACATCTTGTGCATTACTGTTCGGCATATACGGATGGTGCCAATTAACAACAATTGACTATTGTCCTTTAAAAATGTGCACATGGTAAGCACAGGGCACCAGCTATTATCAATAAAATAACTAATTACTGCCAATGGACAATCTGGGAAACTTGCAGAGAATAGCAGTGAAATTGCTAAAATTATTGATTTTTGTTTTAAAAAACGAAACAACATTTCCTGAAAGAGATAACAGGACAACTCTGGAGGAGAGAGTTAACTATACCTTACACTTGTACATGCTCAGTAGCTATTCCTAAAGATGCTATGTTATACTGATGTCAGCTCATGTGGAACTGGTGTCCAACAATCCCTTGTTGATATTATGTTTAATATACTCTATTAATGTTTGTTTACGAGAGTTTGGACCTAAATTTACAACAAACTCCAGGCCTAAAGACTTGCAAATGAAAACAAAAGAGATATAAATTAACTCTACATCACCTTTTACCCACAACCATACTCAGGCATCCACTCAGCGCAAACTTGCCAAACAATAATTTGATTCTACGTGTCCCTTTAATGTAGCGAAATTACTGAAATCCTTCACAGGAATTTTTTCAAACAAAATTTGACAACAAGCCACAGGGGAGTTATTAGGATGAGGTGAATCAAAGGTACATTTGAAGGAACATTTTAAAGAAGGAAAATGAGACTGAGGGGTTTAGGTAGAAAATTTTACAATTTATTGATATTTTCTAACCACTTGTTCAGAAATGTTATCACACATCTCCGAAGCCATGAGGTAAGAAGGTAGGGACAGTACCACCACACAACAAGGGCTCTGTTCTAGAGTTTATAGTCTTGGCAGATGAAGATGTGACTGCCGATGCTGAACAATTAAAATCAGCAATGCTTAAGATGTTAAAATTGGAGGAGAGCAGGTTTTGGATGTCTGGAGTTGATTACAAATATTGGGAGATTTGAGGCCATAAAAGGATTTGAGTATTAAGATGAGAATTTTAAAATCTAAGCACGCCACTTTCACACCCTCCTATATGCAAGTAACCTCATTTCAAAGGCACCCCATGAAAATATAAAGTTATGATAATTTGGTAATACAGAACTTGAGTAAAGACACGTTTTGTCAAAGCATTTTGTGTTGCACACGTCAGGACAATCTAATGAGTCTTTTCTCAGCAATATTCAAACAAAGTTATTTTAAAAACTATAGATTGCCTTGAGTATGATCATTTGTGAATCATCAGTACAAGTTACTGTGAATGATGTAGATGATTTTATCCTTATCCTGCATGGTGCCAAGCTTCATTACTGGGGCATATGTGAGCATTAAAGTAGTATATCACAGTCAATTCATTTAATCCATTCATTATTCTGACCTCTTTTATAGAAAGGATGTTTTTTCTTTAACAAAGTGCAATTGGAAATTACTGTCTACGCATACTGTAGTCGAAATCAAATCTGTTCTCTTCAATTTGCTATTGTGACAGTAAAAATTGTAATTTCAGTTGGGTGTTTTCTGATTCAGTAGAACTAGCCTCCCTAATGACTATTGGTTAAAGTAGCACATAGCTGAACCACACAAACTAGGATGACTTCAAAACTGATGCCAGTTACTAAGTTTGTTGTTTATCAGTTTGAGTATCACAATTAATCTCAGCATCCCAGGGTTACAGAGTGTAAATTGACCATGGTCTCTGCTATTGCTTGTGATTCAGTGGCTCCTGCTGGATGCTTGTCTGGACACTGAGTAAGGATAGAAGAGAACCTAATTGTGATGATCCTGGAGCCAAATAAATAAGTTATTCTGGTGGTTTTGTTTGTCGTGCTACTGCTGTGGATGGTATTCATTTTAAAGTAATAACGCTAAGGTGCAATAAGCGACCGCCAATCTGATGATGTCACACAATTTCGGGATGGAGAATAAGGGCTTTCTACCATGAGATCCTAGTGGAGTCAGATGTGATGTACCTGGGTCCTGAAAGGCATAAGTACAGCTAATTAGATCATGTTAATTGTACCTTTTTCTTTCATTCAATAATTTTTGGCCTGGTTTTTCCGCTGGCCAGACAGTCGTTACTCCAGTATAGTTGAAAGCTGCGTGTGGGGACACTGTGTAATCCCCGTCATAGCAGACTCAGGAGTCAAATGTAGGCCAAACCGGATACAGATAGCAAGTTTCCTTCCACGAAGGACATTAGTGAACCAGATGGGTTTTTCTGACAATCAACAATGGTTTCATGGACACTAATAGATTGTTAATTCCAGATATTTAATATAGAATTCAAATTTCATCATCTGCTGTGACAGGATTTAAACCCAGGTTCCCAGAACATTAATTGAGTTTCTGGATTAATCGTGTTGTGATAATACCTCCAGGCCATCGGAGCATGCAGGGCAGCTCCTGGCAATAATGATTTTTTCGAGGAATGGCATGTTGTAAGGGATGGCTACAAAGTGTGAAAGTGGTGCCGTAGGAATGTGGTAGATAGTTAATGAGGTGATATTGGTAAGATAGAGTGAGAAACACTCCATAAAACCCAACAATATTGATTCTGAGCCAAAAAGAGTAATATTTCCTAATTTTGCTATCATTATAGTATCCTCTCATTCCTGGCATCATCCTGTTGAATCTTTGTTGCATGTTTTCTATGGCTCTTCAATTCTTTTAAAATGGGAGTGTCCCTTTGATGCCATTCCAATCCGTGAGACGAGGGAGTCAACTTCAATTGAAGCAGCAGTGGGAGTGCTATGTGTGCTTTCAGTGCCCTATCATTTGGGAGGATACATTCCAGTGTCGGAGATGGAGGGAGTATTCATCCACTGATTCCATTCTTGAGCACTTCCCAGCAACCTCTATTGCAACTATCTGGATGCTGCCTGAGGATGGGATCAAGTTTAGTTTGATGCTTCTCCAGCATTACCAGCTTCATCAAACACCCTCTCTACACCTTCTCTTCAAGCAGCCAGTGTAACAGTCATTGATGCCATCCACACAACAAAATAGCCTGTCTGCTATTAGAACTACCAAAGTGTCAGGAAGCCACAAAACAAAGATGACCATAGCTTAGAACAAGTCACTACACTTCCAACAGTGGCAAAGTGCTTCAGGCCATCTTGAGGTCACGTGAGTTGCGTTATAAATGGAAGCCTGCCTTGTTCAGGAGAGAAATACTCACAGACAAAATATTAATGTTTCAAGGATGAGAACCTGATTTAGTAAAATTGAAAACATTTTACATCAAAACCTTAGTGCAAGCAACGTTGACATTTGTAGGTTTGGGGGTAGAAAAGGAATCTGGTGCAAGAAGCAGCCAGCAAAGTACAAGCAACAATCTGCGGTATGACTTCTTTGTGCTCTGCGCAATGTTGCTTTTTCACCCTAAGTTTGTGGATTTGGAAGTAAGTATCCAAAGACCAAGAGAAAAGCATTGGCTTGCACAGCTGGGACGCGAGGCTTGCAAAATTCAAAATATTTTGACCTAATTTGAGCCAAAACTTGTGGAGTTGGGCAATTTGGCAGAAGTAAATTTTACACTGTACAGAAATTGGCCATTTTTATCAAGGATAATGATTAAATCTAACTCTCTAGTCAGAGAGTTTTGAATATGCAAGTTTTTCAAAAGTACATTTTGCCAAAAATGATCTAATATTCCAAAAATATGCAACTGCATTGATGAATGTGAGCATCTGCCTTCTCAGCTCATTTCAATTATATCTCTCCTGTCAGAGAGGAGAGGTCAAAGGAAAGCTGCTGTAAGATGTTGTAATGCACAGTGTCTCATTGTGTTTCATCATTAGACATTGTAGAGTCACTGTTTCCAAACAAATTTTTAATCCATCAAGGAAAATAGGAGCGAGTTTTTACTTGTGTATTATATATCAATAATTTTCAGAGGTTTGACACTATTCATTAATGTTGCCTTTTTAGCTTGTTAAGTACCTGATTAAAAGTCTGATGATATTAACA